AAGGATACAGAAGTAAATCAGTCTAATCAGTTTGAAATTTTAAAACCTTTGAATTTCTATTACTGAATTTGTTTACATTAAAATTATGTTTTTGTGTTTTTGCCACTGAATTTCCGTCTTCACATTTTCACTTTTATTATTTTTCAATAATCACAAATCGTAAATCTTTGAATTTTATCATTTGAATTTGAGATTATAGGTTTATAGGGAGTACATATTAAAGGGAGTCATTGTAGGATGATAGGCATTCTAAAATATATATATATACAGAATGTATGTGTGTATCTTTATTCTATATATATATATACATAGAATACTTCATTCCCAAATGTCTTTGAACATCAAAGGTGCAACTTGCCTATCAATCTTTAATGACTGCCTTTACGTTCACAGCTTCTGATTACAGGCGCTCACACAGAGTCAGAGTTAGAGTCAGAGTCAGAGTTAGTTCGTACAGCAGACGACAGGAAGATGGTTGGCCCCAACGAAAGAATGTTCAAGGAGACAACCAGGCGCAACCAGACGTATGTTGCCACAGTGATCATTGAGGTGTTGAAGAGCTGTAACGCCATGGGATACTGCCCCGATGAGGCATTGGTCCCACAGGTGCGGCATCTGGCCGACCTCGTCCTCTCCGGACTCCCGCAGGATTTTGTCCCCAGGGTGTCCAACATCCAATTGGCTGAGGCAATTCACAAAGAGATGCGGTCAAAGTTTGGACCGTACATGAACATAGAAATAGACCTGAAGAACCCACTGAAAGAGGCCGCCATGGCTGATTGCATCCAGTCTCGGATCATGTTGTTCTCAAGGGAATGTCAGAGGTCAAACATCATCACCTTCTGCCTGGGGGCCATCACAGGCGCGCTCATAGTAGGAGGTGTGGCCTTCCACCTTAACTGGCTCACGATTTAGTTTGAAACCATCAAACTCGAGATGGGAAAGCGACAAACGTTTTGTGAGAGCTGAAGATCACGAGTCACAATTTGTCAACAATCTCATTTTTCTCAAAGTGTATTAAACACTGACGTTCGAAGTCGGGTTCACACCGCAGGATTTTCAACCTGAGTTTTCATGCAGCAACAAATTTGAGACAAAAATACCTGATCAAAGTCCTGATCAAAGTCCTGATCAAGGTCCTCCAAATAACATGAATAATAATATACAAGACAGAAAAATAAACTGTTCTATTCTAATGTGAATCTACTGCACAGCTTCAAACTGAACATGCCAGGACACGACACTAGTGCAATATTATATTTATTTCTTACAGTGAATTTTGGTTGCCATACAAGAAGTCTTGAGGGTTCAAGGGGGAAGGAAGAGTGAAGTTACAGGAAAATTCTCTCTCTTTTCATTTCAGTAATTAGTCGACTCTATGATGATTCATTAGCACAAAATTACAGCAACATAGAAAACATGAACACAAATCTTTGCACAAATTACTGAGAACATCTTAGCCTCTAATGAAGACTTAATCAAAGAATAAAATCTATTCATGAAAAAAATAAATCAACTCAGAAAATAAATATACAGTAACCCAAATGTTGGACAATGCTAAAGGTGGGATCAGTGTTTTTTGAGAGGGGGGGGGGGGGTGGAAGTGGGTTAGTGAGCCATGCGTGTCGTAAACACGGCATCACACCGCCGTGACGCTCTGTAAAGATTCTACTACACCTACACAGCTCCACATAGAAAACCAATGGCGACCCGTTGATCCACGTGAGGGAGTCGACAGCCAATCGTTTGGATAGATTCATGTTTGTTTACATATTTATAGAGTCTTTAATGTTTCCGACCAAGACGAACTGCACATGTATGTGTTCCAAAAGTTACCGCTTGTTTTCATCAGTAGTTTTTGAAACACTCTCTGGAGTCAGGCGGTCGTCTGTAGACAGCGCACACGGTTTTTGTTATCACTCGATTGGGCAGAATATCTCACGACCGCAGTCGACACGCATCTACCTCATATAAACACTGACAAGTGATTGCATCATGATATGTAACTTTAAAATGAGAAAATAAAACACAACCAATGAGATTCAGTCAGAATAAATATTGCTTCTTACATAACCAATAAGTCTAATAATAATAATAATATCCACATTTTTTAAAATCTATATAGTATTTCTGTTTTTGGCAATTTTGTTCAGATAACCTCTATAAAATTTCATAGAACTCTATACAAATCTTTAAAAATACTGTGCTTTTCTACCCCCTCCGACACGTCGCTGTAAAATAACGTTCAAACAGGAACGGGATCGTCCCGCGCCGGCCTCCATACGGCTAATGTTCACAGAACACAGAGCTTGTGTATGTTTCATTTGTCTCCTCAGAAAGCTGCACCTACATGAAGCTGCAGAGTTTGATATGAAACCAAACAAGGGTCAACTTGTTCTAAAGCGATTATATATACACACATATATATATCTATATATCTAGATATATATATACATATATTTGTGTACATATATGTATACTGTGTGTACCTCCAGATGTTGGAGGATGTGTCAGACCACATGTGAGGTGTGAGTCTCGAGAGATAAAACGGGAGCTCTTTGTCTCTGTGGAGCGACAACAGGGAGGTGCAGGTGTTGGGGGGGCAGTGAGCATCCTCTGCAGGATGTTGGGGAGAATCCCACCAGGTTTGCTTCGGTCGCCACGTCAGCTCTGGCAGTTATCGATGAACCTTCATAGATTATTTTCCATTAATCTAAACCTTTAAATAGATCTATACATAGAATCAAATAGACATTTTATTTCCGTTAAACACTCTTATTTACACATTTCAACACAAACTCAACTTCTACTTCTGACCAGCCTGAAATCGCAAACACAAACATTCCAAACTTTCTAACTTCTGATTCACTTTTAAAATTGGACCCATGTGTGAAACTGGAAATCTGGATAAGAACACGAGTCTCGTCTGCAACAGATCCCAAATGTTTTTCATCTCTAATCTGACGGAGTCTCGCTGATCTGCCGCAGTTGTCGGGTTGTTCTCGTTTCTTGCTCAGCGGTTCGTGGGCAGGCGAAGTCACGTTGACTTAAGTGAACTTGTGATTATTAAACCCTGAAGTTGCAGATTCTCCGTCTGCTCTGAGATCTCAGTGCAGTTTTATGTCGTCTGGCTGAAGTCGCTCTAAAAAGTTTGGATAAATGCATTTATAAGAAAAAGATTATTAATCTTTGATTAATCTATTAATCTTTAAAGAAGCGTTGTGTCGGGGCAGCAGCTTCGTTAGCGCGTCGCTCTTCTCGAGAACAAATCGCTGCAGCCTGTTTCTGTCTCTTTCCTGTTGACTCTATGTTTTCAGATCACAGCTATTTCCTGTTTGGCTCCTTTTGGGATTTGGGGATTCGAGCCCATGTTAGCTTAATGCTAATGCGAAGAACAATGTACAAAATGTTCAGGTAGTCATTTAGCTAAAGTCGTTTAGCTTTATCTAAAACTTTAGGTAAAATATGAGCTTCTTCTGGTTGAACTTGAGTTTCAGCTCTTTGTCTACAACGTGTAATATTCAAAATTGTTGAAAATCAAAAAACACTGAATTTAAGTTCAATGTAAATGTGCCGACCTTTAACAGTTTGACATTTTGAGAAGTGAGCCATTTCACTTTTTGCTGAGAAGATCAAGAACATGAGAACGAACGTTACATGTATGAACATCTGCGTGTTTACACGTAACATGAAACTAAAGCCAGGAAGCTATTAGCTTAGCTTAGCATGAAGACTGGGACCAGCTCAGTGATGAAGAGATGAGACATAAGATGAATTAAAATTTAATTAATCAAATTGACTGCACCTTCATGCTAGCTAAGCTATGTTGATGAGCGAACCTCACTTTACATTAAGGTTAACATACATCGAAGCAGAAGAAGTCGTGACATGACGAGATCATTGAACACGGGACCAGTTAACAAGTAGAAAACATGACGTGGAAATTACGAAAGGTTGTAAAATGTTACGAGAATAAAGTCATAACTGAGAGTTAACTCGTCATTTGAATAGAAAAACTTGTAATTTATGAGAATTCAGTTGTAATGTTGAAAGAATAAAGTAGTGATTGAGAAGAAACTTGTAGTAGTATTAATAAAGTTATAATTTTATAAGAATACAGTCATAATTGAGACGATCAAGGATAAAGGAGGAAACTAGAAATATTACTTGAATAAAGTAGCAACTGAGTGTATTTGTAATATGACGTAAATAAAGTCAGACTTTGGTGGAAACCTACGAGTAAAGTTACAAGAATAAAGTAAAATAAGAACATTTTTGATACCCAGCCTAAAACTACAACTTTATTCTTCTTTATTATGACTTTATTCTCGAAGTCTCAGAGATGTTTTCCCCTCGTCATGGTCCTAGCCGTTAAAATATGGCTTCTTTGTTTATTTGACATATAAATGTCAGGAAGGTTAAAGTCCCATCATCCATCTGATGCTTTCATCTCTTCACTGTTTCGTTTTTAGGAGTAAAATCTTATTTTACTCTCACTGGGTTTTGAAAAGAGGTTTTCCTCTTTCAGTTTCTCTGGGAGCATGATATTGATCTTCTCATCTAACTCTGGGTAGAAAAGTAAATAGGTGTACATCCCAAAATGTTCCTTTAGAGATTCCATTCCTCTGGAATACCTCCACTTCTATCTCGTACTGGCGCAGCGTCTGAGACGTTAGCTTGGCTGAGGGGCCACATGTTGACCTGCTGATGGTGAGATGGAAGAATCAAGTACAAAAGGAAAGAACAGCTCTAGTTTCCCTCGACTGGCTTATAGAGCAGATCCATGGAAATAGAAAACACACACACACACAAACACAAATCCAGGAGAGGACGACAACACCTTCGGCAGCAACACCAGTCGCTCCAACGCTGTGTCCGTCCATCGTGTTCCTCGTGTCCTCGTCTCAGTTTTCCTTGAATTAAACTGAGGAGGACGGTTTAAACTGAGGAGGGGCTGCAGCAGAGCGTCTCCTCTGGTGACCACCGAGCTTCCACAGCCATTACAGCAACAGTGTGTGTGTGTGTGTGTGTGTGTGTGTGTGTGTGTGTGTGTGTGCGTGCGTGGACAAGATATGCTTTAGTATTTGTTTCAACTAATGTTTTAACTTTGACACAAACAGGTGAAAAGCAAAAAAAATGGAGTCTATCTCAAATTTTCTCTACAACATCAGATGCAACCAGAAATATAACTCTGGTAGGACTCTAGTGAAGAAATATTATTCTCTGACAAACTCTAGCAAAGATAGAAAAGGAGCAACGACCAGCTCAGCTGGTTGTTCATGCACCCTCACTGGGGTGTATGGAAAAAGTCTTGAGTATTCCAAAGCAGTGGGTTGAGCAGAGTCTTTGTGAAACTTCAGGATGAGTGTTTTCTTCCAGTGTTTGAGGACAAACTGTTCCAGAGTTTTTTGTCCTCAGGTCTCTTCACACTGGCCTCCTCTGCTTTCTCCCTCCATGATGTGACATAGCAGCTATTCTCTTCTCCCTTCCCTCTGCAGTTCCTCCACAAATCCCATGATCCTCTGATGCTCCGGACGGTGGGAAGGAGGAGGAGGACGGACGAGACCGGAGCACTGAGATGAGGGCGACTACGGAGAATGAGAGAGGACAAAAACAGGCAGCATCAGCTTGGACGAAACCTTGAGCCAGTTCCAGGACTTGAGATCGTGTCTGATGAAGAGATTGGTAGAAGTGGTGGGTCACGGCTCCCTCTCCTGACTCCACCCCCCGTCTCCTTGAGGCTTATCTGTCCTGCAGCAGCTTGAGGGCCCTCTCGATGTTCATACGGTGGCCCACCCTCGTCACACCCAGGTCTATCAGGTCCTCTTTCTGCAGCGAGGGCAGGTGGGCCCCCTCGATCTCATTGTCCAGGAAGGCGTCCCTGTGCTCCCCCAGGTTGAGGCTCTCCAGCCAGTCCGCCACATCATGCTTGCTCCACAGCTCCATGGGTTTGGAGGCGAAGGGCTTGCCCGAGGCCGCCACGGCCTGCATCAGCGTGAGCGGCGAAGGGGAGCGCGAGCTGCCGCTGCCGCCGTAGGAGGAGCTCAGGCTGTAGCCGCCGCCGCTGCCCATCGGCGGGGTGGGCAGGCCGAAGACGTCGGTGAGGGTGGGAGACACGGATGGAGGCAGCGAAGAGCAGGGGGTGAGGGAGGAGACGGAGTCTGGGGGGCTGCAGGGGTGCGTCTGGGATGGGAGGCTGCTGGGTGGGGTGGAGGTGAGGGGGGCAGCGGCGTTATTACGCGTTCCTGAGTCTTCTGTGGGAGGCCTGGGGGGGGGAGGGGAGACAAAGAGTTAGTCAGGGTCAAACATGAAACTGTTGAAAATAAAAAGATCCTGGTTCCGTTTGTTTGAGACAAATGATTTATTTGTTAAAATAAATGAAGAAACTCTGAAGTTCTGAGTCGACACGAGAAATATTCTATTTTATTTACAAAAATTCAACTCAATCAAAAACCAACGATGATAAAAGAATCGATATTTAAAGGGAACTCGCGCCATTTAATAATTCGACGCAATCAAGTCGAGTTCTCCAACTCTGTTTCCTACACTTCCCATAATTCAGTTCAACACAGTGATGGAATAATTCTACGTGTTCTTTGTTCACTGTACCATCAAGAGCTGCGTGAAAATTAATAATTATTATTATTTTAAATTAAATTAAAATGTTGCTGTTACTGGAACCTGACTCATGATGGAACCATGATGGAGAGAACAACTCGAGGAAATGAAAGAGGTGAATAAACGGGAGCAGGGACGTGTCTCATGGAGGACGTGTCTCATGGAGGACGTGTCTCTGCCACTCACTGACTCCTCACACGCTCATCATGATTTAATGAGGCTCAGTGAACAGAAGGTGGCGCTATTGTCAAGAGGTTTCAGTCACAGCCGCTGATGAAGACTCGAGTTCAACCAGGACACGTCAGCTTTGTTTTAGACATGAAGGAAAATGACAACTAACATTTAATGTTGATATTTAGATGAATGTGATATTAAATTTATATAAGTTACAGATAGAGAGAGAGAGGGAGAGAGAGAGAGAGAGAGGAAGAGAGAGAGAGAGAGAGAGAGAGAGAGAGGGATAGATGATATATAGATAGATAGATAGAGAGATAGATGATAGATAGATAGATAGATAGATAGATAGATGATAGATAGATAGAGAGATGGACAGATAGATAGAGAGATAGATAGAGAGATAGAGAGATAGATAGAAAGATAGATAGATAGACAGATAGATGGATAGATAGAGAGATAGATAGAGAGATAGATGATAGATAGATAGATAGATAGAGAGAGAGAGAGAGATAGATAGATAGATAGATAGAGAGATAGATAGATGATAGATAGATGATAGATAGATAGAGAGATGGACAGATAGATAGATAGATAGATAGATAGATAGATAGATAGATAGATAGATAGATAGATAGATAGATGATAGATAGATAGAGAGATAGATTTTACTCTTGTTGAGTTGAACAGAGGATGTTGTTTCGGATCTTTGAGACAAATTGTGTTTGTGAAAATGAGACTAAACTAATAAAATGAGACTAAACTAATAAAATGTGATGTGTTTCTCGTTTCACTTCATTTTTCGCATCAGAACTTTTTCAGTGGATCTGAAGACAAATAAAAAAGTGATGAACTGATCATCACGCAGCTCAGACCACAACAATCACCTTCACCTCACTGCTGCCACAGACGGAGGAGGACGGAGACTGATTGATTTATTGATATTTGGAGCAGAGACAAATATCACACACACACACACACACACACACACACACACACACACACACACACACACACACACACACACACACACACACACACACCATGCAGCATGATCACTCCTTCCTTCAACTTCCCCTGAGGAGTTCCTTCCCTGTGGAGCCTAAATCGCCTGAATCGTCAGCACTCGATAGGAGAACTGAGCCGAGGTCACTAACCAGGCCACGTCTCACCTCCTCACTCCTCCCACCGAGAGCGAGCGAGGTGCGGCGTGCAGCCTAGATCTCGCTCCCTCGCTCCTACTCGTAACATATGGAACAGCCCGAGGGGAAGTGAAGGGGACCGAGCGGGTCGTTCTGTTCAAGTGGAACTGGGCCATCGTCGAAAGTGCTGCTTCCCGTCTCCGAGCCCGAGCGAGAGAACTTACAGTGTTTTCAGCACCAGCTTTTCCACAGGACGTCGTGTTGAGGGGATGAGATGGAGACAGAGGACACGTGATGATCAGCATGTAAAAAGACACACGCACATACATGAACATGCATGAGACAAAAGGAAAGAACAGAAGGGAGCAGATGGGAAAACATAACATCTAGATGAAGTGATGGGTCTCAGCCATCTGTCGGCCAAACAACTTCCACTTCGTTCCTCCTGCACGTCACAACTTGAATTCTTTAACGGCTCAGACCGGACGAATACACACTCTGACAAATCCTCTCCAACCTGAGACGTGTCAGCCCCTCTCCTACTATTCAACACTTTCTGTTGCAGGAGTTAAATCAGTTGCCTGTTGGACTAATTAGCACAGAGCCTCGTTTAGCTGCTCTGACCTTATTATCATTTCTCACAGCCACATATCAAAAAGAGGCCAGAGCCGTTTCCAGTTTCTCTCACGTGAATGAAGGTGCAGAGGATTATTTGTGGATTTATATCAAACTGTGTCCACACACTTTAGAAGCTGAAGACAGACGATGGTGGAAACATCATAATAATGAGAAACACACAGAACATCAGAACCAAATGATCAGATTTAGTTTATCACTCAATAATCAGGCGATTAGATAAAAAACATCACAAGATCACCAGCGTCAGCGACATTTATCTGTACAGCAGCAAAAGGAATGTCAACAATAATGTTGAAATGTGTTTAATGAAGTTAAAACAAGCTGCTGGAGATCATGAGGTTAAAAGAAAAGACAGGAAACTTTTCAGAGCCTGGACTATTATAGTTTTACTGAGTAAAGAGGTTGAATCTGTACTTTTACTTGTTTTAAAGAAGTGTTTGTATTCTACTGGAGTAGAGAATGTGTGGACCATCTCTGCTGAACGCAGAACGCTGACCTAGTTCAACGAGTGACCAAGGCCACACCCTCCAGTCGCTTGAAGGTTTCAGAGAGTCGAACCAAAATATCCTCAATCTGCAAGTTCTAATAGTCAAACTGGTCCTCACAAAGATAGAAGCACAAGAGTACACACACACACACACACACACACACACACACACACACACACACACACACTCCCTCACTGCTGCTTCTCCGTCAGCTGAGCGGCACGAGAGGAAAGTGATGCAGCGTCATTGAACCGTGTGGTTGGAGACCTCACCTTCACCACGCCCACATCACATGACTCCCTGCTTCTTTCAAACACACACACACACACACACACACACACACACAC